CCGCAGGATGACAACACGAAGAAAAAAGCGTGTGAAGAAGCGGAAATGGAGATTTGAAATCCGATCTGTCTCCATAGTTGATGTGAATGTCGTGAAAAACTTGACTTGTGAGCATTACATGACCTTGCACCTTTGTCCTTTTAAAATGACCCTTGATTTGCCTTACCATCTGCTCTCCGTGAATGGAGCAATTTTTGCTGAAAATTAAGGTTTGTAAAATCCTCACCATAGCATTCTTTTTCTTCTTCTACAACCTCCAGTAAGTTCTCGAACATTGTAGCATCAGAAGGTTGAAACCAGTGAACTGCAAGAACATTGAAGTCACGTGCAATCAAGCAGTGTGAAATATCTGCCAAAGACAAAGGTCGTATTCCCCATCGGCATTGGGCGAACAACACACGTAACAAACGAGTAAAGAATAGTTATCCTTTAGAACAACTCGGAGCCAATAGCTCTTTTCTACCGCGGTCATTTGTAGATATTCCAACGGCGTAAATGTAAGTGATTGTTTAACATGGATACAGCTTCCTCCACCATTGTCGTCTTGTCAATCACTCTGGATGTGGGCTTAGACTAGGATAGGGAGTTGGGAGTCGGATAAGCAGGGAGTTACTCATGTCTCTGTTACTATAACAATGTCTGGGCGGTGAACGAAAACCAGAGTCTGGAGCAGAGGCATCTTATTAAAAAAAGATCTGGCATTTACAACGAGCAATTTGGACGAGGCACGTCTGTGGTTTCTGAGACGGGACACATTGGCTTTTAGAGTGACTGCCTTCGGTCGAAGAAATATCTTTTTGACTCAAACCATTTGTCTGTCCCTTATTTTGAGATATATCTCACCACTGGTTATTCATTTTTACAGTTCTGTTATCCACTGTTACATTTGCATTCGTTCTTTCAGCCCGGATTCTGGCTGAAAAATACTTCGGAACGCTGACACCGTACGGATGATTTGCTCTGTAGCAGGAGCTGTGTCTGTGCTTCAGTTCCCAAGACGATTTTTATGCCTGATCGCTTGACATCCAAACTTACGAATCTCCACTGCAAAGTTGCAGAGAAATCATGTACAATCGTCAGTCGGTTAGCCACAAATACGCAGGGCCTGGTTCATTTATTTTTTATAGAATCTAGGACTATCATAGAATCAGTCAAGGAAGTTACCTTTGGGGTAAGTAATGGTAGCTGAACGGATGGGATCAGCCAAGCGTGCAGCCAAAGTTGCAGCTGCCAGCTCTAATTGTGGTATAAAAACTGCTGCACGCGCCTTCGAATAAACGAGTGAACCACGTAAATTTCTTGTTTATTTGAGGAAATTAGCATATGCTTCTGCACTATATGCCACTTCGGACGTATGGCAAAATGCATGCAGTTCGGTTAGCTTTAGATCGCCGATACCTTTGGGTTTTAAACATCGAGTCAGCTGAAGCGTTTTCAGACTGCGCAGATTTGAGATCCAGTTTTCCCTTTGAGATCTCTCAATTAAAGATAGTTTCACATTCCATTTCCATCCGCTTTTGCACAAAAAATGCAGTGGGCACTTTTCAGGTATCAGCCAAGGGAAATGAAACCCAGGGGTTCGTAAAGAGAAGGCAAACAGGACAGGGTGCACCTATAAGTAAACGGTTTTGAAAGCATGCTGAGGCTCCTCATCAGAAAATCGGTATTGGTATCCCACTGAAGCCCTAGAGCTACTTGGTAGTGGATTGAAAACAATATCTTGCATGCTAAAAGAATGTTCGGTCGTATTTTTGAGCGTCTAGTGACGTTAAACTGACGTTTTATTCAGTTAAATATGTTTTATAATTAACTTGCCACAACTTTCAATCAAGCACTAAAAGGTGCCTAGCTTTTACTGGCCAACGTCTTTTTTTCTTAGTTACTAGGCTGTTACTGTTTGGATACTTCTATCTTAGATTCCTGGATAGAATACTTTGTATCCCGCAAGCGTAAGTACACGGTGGTCATTAGGCGCCCATTTCCGCATATGAAAGCCACCTTGAGAGAGTAGAACATAAATTCCGTCCGAAAACGTTTGGCGAAATCGTCATCACATAATGAAAGCAGATAATCATCAACGTAAATAATTCGATGAACCGTTTTGCAACTTGATGGAGAGCGGGATGAAACGGAATATTCAACTATTTTTCGCAACAGAAATGTTACATAAAATGGCCAAGAAGTTAATCCACATCTATGAGATGTTCACTGGAACTCATTTGGTTCCCCTGCCGACTCCTCACTTTTGCACCACAATTATCTCAGAGTAAGTCCACCAAGCGGATGTACTTTCACTTGCAAGAACATCGCTTCTGTATCCCTGTTACTGAGACTTGCTCCAGCCAGAAAACCAACCACATACTTACTAATTTTGTGTTTAGATTAGGAACTTGATAGGGGTGGTCATTTAGTGACACGCCTTGACAATTTGCGGCATAGTCTTGTTTCCAGGGATATATAATACGATGGTAGGAATAAATTGTACGGCCGTTCAGTGACAAAAGTCTGCCGGCCAAAATATATGACGGAATTCATAAGTAAACGAAGCCTATAGACCCGGGGTCGGCAACCTATGGCTCGCAAGCCAGGTGTGACTCTTTTGATGATTGCGTCAGGCTCTCTCAGATAAAACTGGGATTAGAAACTTCAGATTTTGTGATTTTGGTTACTCCAATGACGTGCTGCCACCG